ACAGTTTGGCTCCGAGAGATGAAACTCGGTGGGATCCTCATATAAAGAATCCTGAATCCTACCTCCCTTCATCCCACCCTATGAGGCCTCCGATGATGGTGAGCTTCCAGGTTGGAAAGACTTGGGTCCGATGCTTGCAGGCTTCATTCTACTGCTAAGCTGAAAGCCTGCTCTAGCTTTGGGACTAGGTCTTCGTGTCGAAGGACACTGAGATCTACATTACATATGTATACATTTATATTTATATCTATATACTTACGTGCACAACTTTGTCGAATCTCCATTCCAAACATGTCCATTGTCGGTGCCCAGCCGCTGCCGCGCCAGGGACCGGTGAGTAGCGACCTCTTGGACAGCCAACGCAGCCAGTGCGGAGATTGTTGACGATGAAACCTGCCTGCATCACAGTCAAGGCGTATATGTATATATATATATACACATTCATATATAGATATACATCTATATATGTATATATAGATATAAGATAGATAGATAGATAGATAGTCCTACCAGGCTTCTGATATACTACAGAGGGGCGCAGGGTTACATTATTACAGGGATACCTTCAGGGCCTGAGCGTAAGCGGATTTAGGTTGAGGATTTGAGGAAAGTGTCGCATCTCAACCTCCTCATCCACCTGGGACTGAGATCTTCAGAATGGCGCGAGCCGTTGCCGCCTCTGGCAAAGAAAACTGTCCGCAGACTTAGATTTTGTCTGGGGTGAGCACATTCGATACGAGCATTCACTGTCAGTAAACCGCATTAGCCCTAAACGCGGGGATATCTTTGTTCTAAAGACGACTTCAGACAACAGCAGCAACGGCGCAACGGCACCACGAGGATACCTCAGTTGCCGGACTGAAATAGCATTCCGCCTTTACTCGTGACTTCTTTGCGTCAGTCAAACTTACCTGAGAAAGTTTGTATTGCCCTCAGCCGGCAGGCTGCGGTATGGTGCGGTCTCATTCGAAACGTGCAGCAGCGGAATTCGGGCTCGGCTTCGGGGTCTCGCTTCTGCATTGCATCACAGATGCTGAGCACTGCGGGCTCATAGGGCGTGGGCTTGCCGTGGACTCAGCTGTAGTAAGCAAGGCTAATCCTGAGATAGTCTGCTATGCTAAACCTCAACCTCAACCTCAAAGCCCAGCAATGACTAAAATTATGGCACTAAAAAACAATAACGGGATATAAAACAATGCACAAGCATTGAGAAAGGGAGGAACCGGATTCTCAACACAGGGGATTTCACCATGCCGTTAACTCGTGAACGTCCGGAAGTGCAGCATATGTGTTCCAGCTACTAATACTAATAACCACAAGAAGTATGATCATACGGCTAATAAAGATGCTAGCAGTACCAATAATCATACAACAATGGCAATAACAACATAAGACAAAACCAACTATAGTGGTTGGAAATAACAATAAGAACAGTAACAATGCTAATGATAATCAATCGAATACCAACGACGCGAATACTCATACAAGTGGTTAGAGTAGCAATAATGAGACAGTGATGATACTACTACTGACAAGAACGATAATAGTGCAAGCTCACCAATAAGAAAAATGGTGAAGAAGTACTAGCAGACTAGCAATAACACTAATAATAATCGTGGAAACAAGAATGATAACAACTTCGATAAGAATAGTGGTCATCAAAACCGAAACTCTGCGCGCATGGCCCGGCCTCACACTGCGAGCAGGACTCCTGCGGCTTGTGTGTGTGCTTGGTGAGATTTAAGGTTTAGAGTCTACATCTCTGGGACAGTCTGAAAGAGAAGCCGTCGACGTTTGGCAGTCAGGAGATGCCTGGCAAGAACTGAAGCCACGGAACCCGGACGCTTTCTTCCATCCGAAAAGGATTCTACCATTCAGGGTCGAGATTCAGGATCCTTTTTTGCGAAAATCCAACATGACGGACCTGCCGATGATCGCTGTAGCGAGCGGGCTGGCACTGCTCGCAGCCTCGGAAGCAGGAAGCTGCAGGTTGGTCTTGAGCCGCAGAGTAGAAATCTCACCGGAAAACTTATGCACGTCAGACGAATGGACATCTACAGTTGACCTCTTCCGTTCCTCAAGTTTGAACCTGTGCAAATTCCTGACGGTATGGCCGTGTAAGGACCACCAACTGCTCAACCTCATTTCGAGAACTCCCAAACACAGGGCTGAGCTTCGATGGCTTCGGGGCAAACGCGCACACAACGACACGGACACAGATACCTATATACATCCATCCATCCATCCATCCATCCATCCATCCATGCATGCATGCATGCATGCATGCATGCATGCATGCATGCACACACACACAGGGGTGCACACCCCCCCGGACTTTCGATGTAAGACGCTATCTGGGCCGCTGTAGAAACCGGCGCCGCAATCGGAGCACTCCGTGGATCCCTCGCGCTCGAGGCTCAGGGATGTACGAGGTTGAGGGTCCAGGGGAGGTGCTTGATCGTTACCGGCCAAAATAGAAGGCCTCCAGTGCGGACGGCTTCGACGCTTGTGGCATTGGCATGTCGCATCATGCGATCCGCTGCTACGGAACTCACTTATCAAGACTTGACTGACCATATCTAACATGTGCTACATAGTCTACAACTTAATCACCTGTATATAATATGTCTATATATATATATACATACACACACACACACACACACATATATATATATATTTCCCTTTATATATATATATATATATATATGTAACTATGTATATAACATGTGTGAACATATACTGTAGGGAGATCTCAGAGGCCTCCATGCTCATCTGGCCAGGGTCACAGTCTTCACAAGCCGTGGACCCAGACCTGCAGGGATTTGGGTGGTTGTCAAAATAATGGTCCCGTTTTGGGTGCCCTAAATATTAGGTGCCGTATTAGAATAGGGACCCAAAAAGGGATCCTAATTTTGACAACCACCCAATTGTAAACTTCTGACTGGTTGAAGTGTGCTAGCCGTCGTCTTGTCATACTTTTGTACTTTTGTAGTCTTAGTTAGTTAGCGTTAGATTAGAGCAGCCGGACTCATACCAACAATGCCTACAAACATCTACGACCTATCTTACAACCTTGAGCACACTTACACCTAAATTGTTTGAAAGCTACTCTCAAGGCCGTGGTCGGAGGCAAGACACAATGCAGGTTCACAGGCTCCCTTTACCTCAGGAAGCCCCTCACGTTCCAGATGCTTGGCCTCCACTCCTACAACACCCTCTTCCTGAGGTCCATCTGTAGTTGTTGTTTTAGGGGCTTACGGTTGCAGAGTTTTGGGTTTTAGAGTTTAACAGGCCGCGGAAGGACTGGCTTTTCCTCCAAGCGTCTGGTTGGTGAAGGTCTTCACGGGGCAGTTTGCACACCTTGCTAGCACTTGCGGGAAGCTACGTGAACCTAAACAGAGAGGAAGCGCAGGGCCCCGAGGTACATTGCACATCATCAATGGCTCTGGTTGCTCAAACTCTTGCGAATCAGTGCATTCCGGACGGAACGAAAATGATGTCTGTCGAAAGACGCTGGCACGCGCATTGCGAGGTCAAAAGACCTGAATGTTTCTGTGTCTTTGGGGGATATAACGGCCACGACTATGAAAGATGGCAAGGGCCGTCGAAGTGATGCTCTCGATTGCTACGTCGTCTACGCGTGTATCTCCCGGAAGGCAGCGGTTTCAAACCAGTCTTGTGGCTACTGTACTCGTTGATGAATTCGGCCGGCGATTTCGCAACTCAAAACTGCTCAACTTCAAACCCGTAACCCCTTCTCAGTCAAGGAACAACAGGGATGTGTGCGCCCCGAAGAGGTCGTGGAAGCGGCCAGGACCACAGCCCAGGCAGGTGTCCGAGGACGTTGCCTGAAGATTAAGAATCAAAGGGGAAAAGGAGGGACCCTTAATGGGGACCCCTACCTTATAATGGGCTATATAATTAATGGATATATAATAGCTATATTAAGGGTATATACCTAGGGGTCCTTGTTAAGGGTCCCTCCTTTTACCCTTGGAAAGAAATCTGAAGAATAACCGCGCTGTGCACACCACGGCCTGCCACACCTGCAAGATGCTGGACGCACCACTACCTTAACCTGCCATAACCGACTTCCTTTAGGCACCTATCATGAAGCACAGGATAGAAAATTACCAGCGACAATAAAAAAATACTGAGTATTGGTAGGCCAGGCTAGCGAGCATATCATTCCGAAACATTCCGAACAAGCTGTGGATTTGCTGGATCAAAATTGACAGATCGCCGTCCCAACATCTCAAATATGGCTTTCGTCGATGCTCCTCTGTTCCACTCTCTAACGGCAACAGGTCTCGGATACAGCGCTGGGTCGCTTGCCTCCAGAGCCGCGCTCCATCTACCAGGCGTGCAGTTGAAACCTGAGGCTCTGAAGCAGATGAGGGTCCATAGCATCATTGTGACTATTATTATCACGATTATTATTATTACTATAATTATTATTATTACTGTTATTGTTATTACTATTACTTCAAAAAACCTCAAACTGTCAGGGGCTTTTTACAACCCTCCGTGAGTCATAGCCTTAAGCTCTGAACCTTTACACAACTGTTGGAACCTGAAACCCAGCTGCGCGTAGAAGCATTTTTGGCCCTCGCAGCTGATATGTTCACCAGCATCTATCCCATGTTCACCAGCATCTATCCCAGGCATGTGAGTTCACGATGCTCAAGAGAACCATTCCGAAACCCTCTTACCAGGGAGCTTCTGCATCACGGGTTTGGGTCTACAGTACTCTCTACGGCTGCGCAGAGACACCAAGGGCTCACGAAGAACACTACAAGTCAGGAGCACTTCTGGCTGCAAAACACAGCGTCCATGATTCGCAAGTGCGCATCCGTCACTTGATGAGGAGTGACTGCGACAGAGAGCGAGAGAGAGTCGGAAGGCGAGAGAGACTTATTTCGGGGTTCAGGGTTTAGGGGTTTAGTGTTCCGGGGTTGAGGGCAAATCGGCAGCCGGGCACGACCAGCTTCTTCATGCTAGAGCACTGAAGACAAGAGGCAGGCTTCCAGCCCCTCCACACCCCAGCGCCCAGGCGGACATAACCTGCAAACTGCGATCCAGTTTCTGGCTCGGTCTGGACACTGATCAGCTTGCCAAGGGGTCTCGGGGGGCAGCTCAATTGCTGTAAACTGCTCTGCATGGGGGGCAGTTCTCTCTCTCTCTCTCTCGCTCTCTCTCGCGCTCTCTCTCTCACAGGCACTCGAAGCGTCAGGCCTGGTCAGTTTAACCAGAAAACCGCCTCTGCAAACTGCAATTGGGGACAGCTCCCATGCTGTAAACTGCTCTCGGGGGCAGCACACATACTGTCACACTGCCTCACACTTCCCCAGACATCTGTTTCCCAATTCTATGTTCACAACTCCCGAGGCGAGGTAAACTGGGTTTAGGGTTTGGTGCTACACATTCGACATTCTTGGAAAAGCGAAGAAGAAGCTAGCTCTCCGAAAGAGGCCGGAACGTCTTGAATCTTTTCGTTACGAGATCCGAGCCTACATGCCGTAAAGACCCAATTCCGCAAGTCTGTGCACAGCAGAAGCCGTTAGGCCCTAAGCAAATCCAAACCCCCGATGCTATCACGCCAAACCTGCCATATACCATAGGGGCCTGAATAATCAGAATAGGGTTTTGGGGCCCATTATATTAAAATCTAATGAGGCACCCCACAATAATATATTGGTAATTATTTAGGCCCCGATATTAGGCCCTAAGCAAATCCAAACCCTCGGGCGTTATCACCAAACCTCCACTCCCTTTTTAGGAGCGTGGGAATGGCCCCCGCAAGCCCGGCGAACCCGCGTAAATTAGGGCTTTGGGGCTTTAGGGTCCATAGTTTAATGAACTGTAAACCCTGATAGAATGCATTTCTCTTAGAACATGGGGAAGGCTATGGGATTATGCCCTCTTCTTAGACTTCCTGTAACATAGGAGACATGTTGATGCACTCCTCCTCTTCGAGTTCCTGCAGCATAGAGGCAAAGAATATTATGTGTATATATATATATATATATATATATATATATTTATTTATTTAAAGAATCCTACAACATAGGGAAAAGGATACTGGAAATTGCGTCCCCGAGGCGTGCAGTTATCCTCGCTGTTGGCCCCTTCAAAGGTGCCGTAGCGGCCTGCGGAGCCTGGGAAAACGAACTTTTCAAACAAGGCTTGGATAGGAGCGATAGGAGTCATTACTATGCTTTTCTTATTAGTGTATGGGTTGCTGTTTGGACAGGAGTGATAGGAGTCATTATTAGTTCTTAGTATGAGTATGGGTTTCGGTTAGTATTGTTGTTATCAATAGCATGACCATCAGTATGATGTACTGTTAATGGCTGGGAAACCAACAAAAAAACTTCGTTGGCAAATGCTGTTGAATGCTGTAGTGTGCCAGAATGCAAGAACGTCAAGGACACTTCACGTGTTTAGAAAGCTGCGTCTGCAGCTCCTGCAAAAGTTCGACCGAGCTCCGGCACTAGCATCCGCATGCCATGCTTAATTAGTTCCACGTATTGAAGATTTACCGAAGCTCACACTGACGTCCCTTGACGGCACCGAGACCGCAAGAGATCCCCCCGTATCCCTCCCCTTCTGCGAAGCAGGGAGCAGTTCTTGCACAAGTCCTGCAGGGATGCAGAGGCTCCAGAGGTTGATGGTGCGCACAAGCTTGTGCATTAACAGTTGCTTGTTGCTCTGCGTGTGTGTGTGTGTGTGTGTGCGCGTGTGTGTGTTGATTGTTTTATGTCGATGAAAACCCGAAGAAACAGTTCATTCAGAGTTCACGTCAAACATCGCACGTTGGAAGTCCCAGGGCTGTCTTCTTCAAGTCTTCTTCAACAACAGACACGACACGGCTCCTCGCTGGCTCCCGTCGCATTGCTCCACTGCCCTGCCTCGGACATTCATGTGGGAGGTTGCAGCAGCTGCCATTCTGACAGCTCTGGATCATGCTCGATAGTTCGGTTTTGTTGTAAGCACGGCAACAAATGCAAAGTCATACTATTTATTGAACGACTAAGTTAAGTCCACTGATCCTGTTACGTATTCTCGGCTGTCGCACGTGTACAGCTCGAGCTGAGCGAGGAGTGAACAGCTTCCTCAGCAAAGAGCTCGGAACCTCTCGCCCAAAGAAAGGCGTAAGATCCAGGCACGAAAGCCGGGCAGGAAGAGGACTTATAGAACAAGCCCCTAAAGCTAATGCAACGGCATTGTTGAGCAGGTGAAAAATGACGGAGAGCTCTCCGCATTGCCTGGGTTTAGGGTTAGACAGGGCTTGCCTGGACCCTGAAAGTATGTAGAATGATGACCTTTTATGGGTGTTGAGCCGGTACTTTACCTACTTCTGGAGTATTCAGTAGGGCTTAGGGGACACAGTACACGGCATGAGACCGGCAACCTTCCAACCCCTGATTGCCGAGTTCCCTGGCGCAACATGTTAAGCCTCTGACGATGGTAGGTCGTTATATGGGTTCAGAAGATTAAAGGTTACCTGCTCAGCAGCTGAGTCAGCGCAAGCCTGCATAACAAAAACTAAAGGTTATGAAGCCTCCTCGAATACCGCCGCATAGAGACCGCAGGACACTACAAAACCTTGAAGCATCCCGAGAAAACTTCTACCTGGACCCTACAAGTATGTAGAATCATGGCCTTTTATAGGTATTGGGCCATGATTTTACCTACTTTGGGGGGGGGTTAGATACTTATGTGGATAGCAGGATTCATAAAAAAAACCTAGTTAAGGCCCAAGGGTTCTTAATCAGGTTCCTACATTATTTTAGTACCCTTCTGGATCCCTTTTTGAAACCCTTATAGACCCCGTGAAAGGGATCCTAAATAAAGGCCCGAGGTTTCTTAATCAGGTTCCTACATTATCATATCCAAATCCCCCCAAAGTATGTAGAACAATGGCCTTTTATAGGTATCAGGCCATGGTTTTGCCTACTTTTTTGCAGGGGGGCTTAGGTATCATGTCAGGAACCCTAATAAAGGCCCAAGGTTTCTTAATCAGGTTCCTACATTCTCGGGGCCCGCGCCAAGCAGTCGATGCAGCGCGTCGCCCCGAGGGCGTCGCTCCAGGTGCCCTCGAGGCCTCATACTCTTGGGTTAGTTAGCCAGAAGGGCTTTAGAGGTTTCAGGGTTTAGGTTTTAGGGGTTTAGGTATTATTTCTTTTTTCTTATTTTTACGAACCTTCTTCCAGTTGGATGGCAGCATGCTGCGAGAGTCTGCACGAAATTTCAGCAGATTAGCGCGCGAGCTTGCATCAAACCACGTACACGTCTTGGTGTCACATGTGCCTTCCGACAAGACAAGAAGAAAGAGTAGGGGAGGCCATAGGGTTCAGGGCCTTGTGGCTTTCAGGCTTCAGCAGCTCTTTGGTTCTATGGGGGCTATCGCCTTTTATGTTAGTAGGGTTTCAAGGGTTTTGCTGCAGGACTGTGCAGCGAAGGGAAGGTGTCCTTTGACATGAAGGGAGCCTCTCGTTTCACAAGGAATCATGGTTTAGGCCTATATAATGGGTATACCCAGAACCATCATGGAGTATGCACTTTTAGCGGGCAGCTTCATATCGTGTTTGGAAGCCTCTTTTCACTGTAAACCCTCCACGCACAAATATACTTGCATGATGTATGCATGTATGCATGTGAGAATGAATGTATGTAAGCATGTCTGGACGCATGCATGTATATATGTATATATGTCATGTGTATAAGCATACTCATCTAGTCATACATACATACATACATACATACACATCTGTATACATATATATATATATATAATATGTACATATATGTACATATATTCCTGTGTGTGTATATATATATATATACACACACACGTCATACACAAGTCCCCTGTCGGCTTAGGGCCTAAGCCGTAAAACTTGTATGAAAAACATCTAAATGCCTCCGACCGCTGCCCGACAGGTCCTAGAAGCCGCACAGGACATCTCCAAGCGGCAAAGCAGGCAAGAGCCTAGCTCGCTGCCACCAGAGGAGACCTCATAGGGCCCCCAGAACGCAGCCATGCAACCAACAACAATGGGAAGTAAGTCCTGCAATGCGGAGGGTCCACCATAGTTTGGGTAGTGATCACACTGATTCTACATGGTGTCAAAAATACTTTTATTCGTCGTCGTAGAAGTAGCTAGTACGCGAAATTGCCATAGTTTGAGAGGGTTTCCTTCAAAATCCAGCACTCACGCCAGTAGTAGTAGTAGTAGTAGTAGTCGTCGTCGTCGTCGTCGCACCAGTAGTAGAAGCAGAAGCAGAAGCAGAAGAAGTGGCAGTCCCGGTAGCAGCAGGAGCAGTTGCACTGGCAGCAGCACTCTGGTATTGCGGCACTGCCATATGCTGCAATACTGCGGTGTAGACAAAAAAATCCTGCTGAAGTCTTTGTGGGCAAGTTTTCTGCAACGAAAGCCTTCCATTCCTGCAGGTCCTAGTGCGCTGACCGACCACTCGAAGAGCTGCAGCAGCTGACATGCGCCACCCAGTTGCAGGTCAAGGGGCCGAGAAACGTCCAAGTGGGCAGGCCTTCTCACGATGGTGTGGGAAGGCTCGCAGGTGTGCCGACAACGAGGGGCAAGCTTCAGCGCTGGTACTGCTACAGGATCGGCTTTCAGTTCACGAAGCAAGGCTACTGCCAGGGCTGCAATGGTCAAGAGTGTCTTGGTCTTCAGGACTTTAGGAAGGCACACCTCGGCACTCGTATGTCCAAGGCAGCAACTACCAACATCGGGACCCGAGCGCCAAATTGAGTAGACTCTGTCTGTGTGTACCACGCATACCTACCTGCAATAGTACATGCATCTCTCTGTCCTTAGACATGTGCTTAACCAGAGGTCTACATGCAGAAAACACACACACACACACACACACACACACACACACACACATGGGGAGAGTTATGGCAAAGTGTGAGTTGTCTAAACTATATCCGTGCGTGCTTGTATGTTTTTACCATACGACTACATTTATATCATCAAATACCTGACATTGATATCCTTACCTACGCATGCTCTTAATCCTCCAGTTCGCAAAAACCAGAAGACCTTTGCGGTTAGGTTCCTTTAGGTATCTCCTTGAATGGTGCTGCACGGGTTTGGCTGAACCCTAAACACACTTCGCGCACCAGCCTGGCAGGTGGCATTATCAGCTGCCGCAGCCGCGGAACTCCAAGTGCCTGCGTTTGCGTGGCTTACACTCTCACAACTCGGCCTGGACAGGGCAGGCTTTGCAAGCCGCGCCCTCTCAAGGTGTACAGGATAGCACAAGGAAGACTCTTATAAACACGACCAGAGATGGTCGTAGCATGGCGGCATGCATGTGCTTGAAGCTTCACCATCTCCAGAGCGCACACTTCTGTCGCAATAGCCTAAACCCTCGATTGTTCTTCAGTCTGAACCACTGAAACCGATGAACACTGACACTGTCCGCCTGGTCCACAATCCTCACATGCTGTTGCACCGAAGATCTGGTTGTAGCGGCCAGGGGCGCAAGGCTGGCATTGAGCCTCAAGCGACAGCAAAGGCTAGCCTCATTGCCGTCATGCTTCGTCTTTCTCTCAGATTCAGACTTTCTAGCAAAATCTCAACTAGTAAACCTTAAAACTTGTCTCACTCTTGGTGTCTACTCCTGCTCTTCCACATATGTCTTAGTCACCATGTCTGCGATCACATCGCCGTCTGGGAAATGGCGGAAATGGTTTTCAATCATCACGACACCGAATAGACACTAATTACACTCGTGACCATAGCAGCACAAAGAACCCTGCTAAACCCGTGGCACTTATGACCTATGATACCAACAAGAGACATTAAGCATTGATGAACATAGCAAGAAACACGGACTAATGATACAGCTGCAAGAGAAACCAAAAAAGTTGGGGAAAGGTTGGCTTGAGTAGAGCACTGGGTTCTCTTGCTCGATGTCGAAATCGTTGTCGTGCTGCTTGACATGCCAGCCTGGCACAACCTCTTTCCTTTGTCCCATCCTTCAAAGACATTATGATGGTGAGCTTGTCCTTCGTTGCTCAAACGCGAGACATTCTGAAGATTTCCACGGCACCTACTTCTGACTTCACGGCCGGCCGTAGGCTCGAGTAAGTTGAAAGTTGAAAGGCCTCATACGGTTGTAACCCATTCTCAAAACTTGGCTCTGCTCGCAGGCTACGGCCTGGCCTTTTTCTCTAAGACAAGCAAAGCAAACGGCCTCTCTGCTGCGATGACAGACTAGCCAGGCCCCTCTCTTCAACCAGGAGCTTGTGCTGAGGTTTCTTTTCAACCATACTTGCTTCTACCTATAGTCTCCATTGTAGTTCGTTTTGGGGGTTATCTTTTAGGAACCTTAATATAGAGTTGGTTAAACCAAAAAAGGAACTACAATGGAGACTATAGGTACTTCCATTCGCAAGAGTGCCGGCAGGCGGCTGCGCTTGTGGCTGCAGGAACCACGCTGAACCTGTCAATTTCTGGCCCGAATGACAACTAGTGTTGGGGCCTTGATACTTAGAACAGGGTTCTGGGGCCCATTATACTATAATCATAATAAGGAACGTACCAGTATCATGACATTCTGATGTAGGGTCTCATTGGGCCTCTACAGGCGAATTAAGCTTCGGAGTTTTAGGGTTTATAGGGGTTTACGCATTGTGCCTGGAAGCGCTCTTTGTCGGGTACCCCTGCAACCTACCTTTTGGCTGGGCTCATCATTCCTTGATGGGAGCTTCGGTGAATAGACCCCGCCCCATCGGATCCGCAATACGCAAACCCTACTAATAATCAAAATTCGCCTGAGTTTTAGAAGCACGACATACGCAAGCCTTTCGAAACCCTTGAAGCCACACGGGCTGCCTTCCTGGCACGCAGGCATCGCAAGTGCCCGAGGTGTTTGCCCCGATGGCGGCACTGTAGCGACCAGCCTGGAAGACAGAATCCGCAAATCCCCAGAGAGCCCAATACCCCTTAAACAAGGAATATACCTGAAATTATAAGGGGATTCATGTTATGATTTAAGCTATATTTCTTAGTTCAAGGGTATTGGGCTCTCTGGGTCAATCTAGGGATCTCAGCATTTCAACAGTAACAGGGCGCTGGGGTACATATACTAAAAAAAGCATAACGAGGAACCCTAGGAATACTTTTGGTAATTGTGTCGGCCTCCATATTAGGCCTCGCTTCGGGCTTTACGGGTCCGATTCGGAGCTTCAGGGTTGCAGGGATTGGTGATTTTGTTTGAGGAGGAGGGCGGGGGGTTCGAGGTTTGGAAACTCAAGAAAGATATCGTTAGAGTGCAGTTGGGGAATTTTCGGCATCCCTTTCAGATTGAATCAGCTTTCAGGCACTGCAATACCCTAAGCAAGCCCCTTAGGTTGCTTCCAGAAACCACATGATATCAAATGTGAACTCGATGTGAGGACCATCAGTCTCTCACGCTGGCTTGGGGCGTGGGGCTTACAGGTTGTGCCGAAGTCTGCTCTTCTCCCAGTCTTGGGCTTTGGGTTGCGGGTTTGGACTCGCACACTCGCACAAGGCAGGCATGGCTTCAGGCGCTAATTCCGCTGAGCTGCGGGTTTAGGAGTTTTGGGGTTTGCGGTCAGGGTTTGGTAGGGTACCTCGTACTCACAACCTGGATTATGAAAAGAAGAACCGTGGTAATGCGAACACAAGATTTGACTGCTGCCAGCAAAGGCACCGTACAGTACGGGCAGGAGGCTAGAATGCCACCAGCAACAAGCCTTTTCCCTGCGTGCAAGCTTTGGAGCTCAGGCCTTGGCAATCATCACAAGAATAGCCCGAAATTCCTCTTACCTTAGTTGAAACCAGTAATCATAGGGCCCCAAAAAGCACACAAGCAAAAATTAGGATAGGGATGTCTCATATATGCCCCCTTCTAATGAAGCCCAATAAGGTAGGGATATCCAAATAACATGCTTATGCCTTACATCCTTTTTGGGGTCCCAAGAATCAAAGATTTCCTCAGCCCTGCTTACGATGAAGCAAAGAGGGCTCCGGCGGCGCCTCGCAGTCGCTGCACTCTGTCACGCCATTCTCCTGCGGCTTCTAATCTAGGGGCCTAGAGAACTAGAATAGGGTTTTGGGGGCCCATTATACTACAATTGTAATGAGAAGCCACCAAAAATAGTAGAGGCAATTGTTAATCTAAGGCTCCTATATTCTCAGAATCGGCTGTCTTCGGATTCTCTTCGGTTTCGGGCTCGGGTCTGAGGGGATTGGAGGTTCGGGCGCTAGGGGGAACAATGACAAGACCTAAGAGTAACCTAGGAAGAAAAAGGGTGCCCTTTTTGGTTTAAAGGTGCTCGTAAGGGAAGCTGAACCCTAAAAAAAACAAAGGGAATAAGGGCCTACTCTAGGTCCTAGACAAGGACGTTCGGCAGGAGCGTGTCAGGAGGGAAATGCGAGCGCAATACCTGAATAAATTCCAACACTCTAGACTCTAATCTAAACTCCTTTTACTCTAAACCCCTGAAACCGCTCCGGCGCGAGCCAGGGTCCTCACTGAAGGTGCCGGCTGCACATGGGTTGCACTCGCTCAGCGAGGCAGCGCCAGTGGAGTTGCCTCTTCCGTTTACCGTTAGGGGCCTTTAGTGGGTTAGGGGTTGAGGGGTTTAGGGGTTCTATGAAAGCCTTTATGAAAGCGGTCAGCAGACAATCCGAGCGAGAGCGAGGCGGGGTTTCGGCTTTGTTAGCACCTCTCAAGTCCGAGCTAGGGGCCGCTCTTTGGGGCGGAGACTCGGGCAGGGGGGTGTTTGAGGTTCATGTTCCACACTTTCCACACTTCTTTGGAAAAAATTGAGCTTGCAGCTCAAGAGTTCATGGAAGCTAAACAAAAACCATGAGAGGAAAGGTTGCGGAAGTCTCATATTCCCGTCGTCAAGTAAGACCCTAAACCCAAAACCCCCAAACAAAGCAGGGACATCGAACCTGATTTATTCGTGCGGGCTTCTTAGCTCGAAGATGCCTCGAGGATGGGAGCCCCCCATAGGGCTCCTGGTTCTCAGCCCTTGATACACGAGGAGCTTTTCGTGTCTAGGGTTTTGGGTGTGTAGGGGCTGAACAGTTCGGTCAGGGGCGGAGGGAGCTCGCCCGGCAGCAGATGCACAAACTCTGCAGGAAGAATCTGCATCCGGCATGACATTGATTCCACATTCGTCTGCACAAATTCCGCACAAGGAATCTGCATCCGCCATGACATTGATGACCAGAGCGGAGAGATGTTCTAGTTTGGTGGAACTTGGACGAGCGCAACGGATTCACAGCTTTAGGGTTTTAGGGCAGGCTCCTCCGATCTTTCCTGGAATCCACCACCCACAAAGCAAGAACCCTTTTTTTTATTAGTGTTATCCTGGAGATTCCTTTGCAAGGAATATTCTTCTCGTTTTTGTTCTCTAGCTTTTTATTGTCGTTTGGTAGGTTCCTTGTCGAGATTGGCGTTTCTATTGGTTTCTTGGCGTTTTCTGAGTTTTCACGTCGAGGGGTCTGAGTACTTCATGTTGCAGTGGTGTGCCAATATGTGCCATGCATCTGCCCCCACTCACTGTTGAATATGATGGCGTGTAATAGTTGAAGCGTGTCCATCTCGGAGTGTTGAACTTGCATGAGCGAGAAGCGCATCTGCCAACGTTCGATGTTTGTGAAGCAGCACCATACATTACCGGCGGCTTTTTCGATCGGGGGTAAACAGGTTGGAAGGAGAACGGTTCGTATTAAGTTCGTACTACTGTACACGGTATGCCGTGGGGCCGGAACTTCACATGACCATCAGCTGATAGCAGCGCATCTGTGCATCAAGGTGCTTAGGATTCATACTATTTGTGAATCCAAGCCACTCGTGCTTGGCCCGGGGATAAGAAGGCCATATATTCAGTCGAACATGCTTGAAAACTGGCAACATCATGTTGGCAATTTGGCAAACCAGTGATTGAGACACCAAATTAAAACGCTCTTGAGAAGGGCACGAGCTTCTAGCTATGCTTACACTAAATATTCCCGAAAGCAGGTGGCGCACAGTCATCACGACGACAAGAGCTGCGAACTGATCAATCCCTAGCCATGACTTCGCTGGGCAGTCTGAGCCTGCGCTGCATCAGCACGACGGATCCACACACCGTCTGTCCAGCTCAGTCCGGAGGAGGCCGTTGGCATGAAATGCTTGTTTGCGACCACGCCGGCAGGAACAATCGATCTGCTCCTAAAGCTGTTGCAGATGCCTGCTAGCAGCTGAAGGAGGAAATATGTGTTGACCACAGGAAAAGATCTTCTCGGAGGGGTTTCTGAAAAAGGCCCTCGGGGAGATTTTGGGATTTGCGGGCGTTTGCGGGTTTTTGCTTGCGTTTGGCGGGTTTTTGCTGGCGTTTTGCGGTTGGTGCGGCGGCGGTTTCCAGGTGATTTTTTGTGTTTGGCAAGCACAACTGCCAATTTTTTCCCCTGGAGGCCCAAGGATACTGCCGCCCGGCTCAGTCTCAAACAAACTTTGGAAGGCTCACCGGTGAGTCTTGGGCAGAAAACCAACTGACTCCTGTCAAGCCCTTCTGCGATAGGGTGGAAAACAGCTTGACACTGCAAGATGGATAGCACACGGTCCGAGGAGTAGTTTTCGTCGATGTTTGTCGCATCCATGCTGTCATTTTCACTACGAACATGGTCATATACTATATAACTATCATGATCTGTGTTTTCCAGACTTTACGTACTCACCATCGCCAACGTCACATCCATGGTCTTGATTAGTGGACTGGTGGGACAGTGTGTCACGTCCGGCAGCTGACACGGTTGTGTTTTTGTTTTGTGTGGGGAGGGAGGCAGGAGGGAAGGAGGAGGTTTTGATATCACTACCACCACTGATATCGGCACCATACCTGCTATAGTATGCTTATGCGACTTCGGTTATCATTACGTGATATGAGTATAGGAACCACTACCATGGATGTCGTGATGGCCGCAACGAACATCACTGGTAGCAGTAACAGCAGCACGGAATTTAAGAAAAATAGTGCTACTACATATCTCCTCGTTTTGTACTGCTGGTAGTGATGAAATACCCGTGCAGATGGTGGCGCTAGTAGGGAATGGTGGTGATCAGATTTAGACACCCAGGTCACGATCGAACGCCGAGACCTGGGTCGAGGATAAAACACGAGTCCGAAAAATATGATTCTAAGGCTGATGCTGACCAGATGATGAACTTCTGGGCAAATATTGTGAATGCACATGATTTGGGCAGAAAGCTGTCGAGATTGGCGTTTTTGTCGACAGCAACTTTTAAGGCCCGATCCCGCACAAAACGCGCAACGGCTAAATCGACAAGAATATTCCACCCGAACGAATCTACAGGATTATTAGTAGCACCCGTATTCATTACAAATAACTATTACGATTATTGTTAAGAGGTAAGTGTTTGTTTATCACTGTTCTTACAGTTATGATGATTAATACCTACAAAAGTATTTTCATTATTCTGATCTTCCGGAAGGCTCCCCCCTTTGAATGCTCCCAGGCTGCTATAGGTTCCAGCGGGGCAGGCGTTGCAATCGGCATCGTCCGTGGCGCCCGATGAGTCGCTAAAGCGACCTGAAAACCCTCACATCCGAACGTGGAAGCTCGGGTTTCACCCAAAGGGGGCTACTATATAAAGCGGGGTTACTGAGGGATCTACTACTAAGGTGGTTGCTAAGGGGGTTACAAGTTTAGCTCTTCTTTGTGATCTTAGTCTTTAGGGGTTTGGGGCTTCGAGTTGTAAGGTTTCCGGCTGAAAGGGTTTCCAACGGCTTCGACTTATAGGGTTTACGGCCATAGCAACTCGATGTAGGGCTTGCACTTGCTTGGTTCAGAGTTCGGAGCTTCAGGATGCAGTGTTCAGGTCTGTGCTGCTTCTTGAGTTGGCCCGCGCAGCATGCACGTGGCATATTGTGAAATTGAATCATGACACGATTGAGGCGCGAACCCAGTAAGCACTCGCACACATGTTCGGGCTCAGAAACCGAAAAGCCCCTATATAATTCCCAATAATAGTTTGTATCTTCCTGGCCTACATTACACAACGACTGGTCACACCCATTCCACATTACACCATTGGGCAACCCGGCAAGAGTGCAAGACAGAAGGGGTTTCGTGTACCTGCTCCGTGGGCACCAAAACATGGGGCCCACTTAGATACCCACCTTCTGGACATTCGGTGCAGACTGCTGCAGAAAGATTCGCGGAGTACCTGCAACGGTCTTTGTTTCAGTCAGGGTGCAAAGGTCAACGCTTGAATGTTGAAGAGCACGAAACACTGCAGCAAGCATTCCCACACGCGACGCTCAGCATCAGCGTGTGCACAAGAATCCCTCTACACGGTCCTATAGTTCGACCACTTGTTTAATGGTCGACGTGCATGAACAAGACAAACAGTCGTTCACATGCAATCGGGATCCCGGCCACTACTGGAGACGTCATGTCGAATCTTGCGATGCACTTGGCACATGCACGCAAGAAGAACGCGGAACCAACCTCTTAATTGCGTTTCCTGCGTCTCGGTCCGAAACCATTAGGTTTCGCTCTTTGTGTAACTTGCCAAACGTGGCAGGCTCCTTCTTAATCTGACATCCCCAATTCTCTTGCGGAGAGTTGGAATCAGCTGCCCACAGCCTCCCGGCAGCACAGTCGACGCAGCTGCTGTTGCCAGCACTTCCCAAGTTCGGGTTGGCAGTACCTGTTCCACTCTCTTCTGCGGCTCAGTGTTCGAAGCACAGAATGGGTGGGACCGCTTATTGCAATGGTCGGCATGAAAGACGCTACAAGTAGCTCAATGTCCACATCAAGCCCTCCATTCACAATCGAACGAAAACCACTCCGACAGGTGCCTTGCCGGAGCCTCGTACAAGTTCTGTGTCGATGCATGGCAATGCATGGGGAAGCTTGGGATTGTTGAAGAAATATCTCTAGCCGTGTCGGAAACTGACCATGTGTCATGCCGAAGGCTGCCGCAAGGAGCTGCTGAGAGGCTGGTGCCCGGAAGGCCGGGGCACCCCTGGGGCAAGGAGAGCAGCTGCGCATCGATTCGGCTCCCAACCTGGCACACGGCGGGTGTTTCAGGGCAAAAAAGGATGAGCCATCCTCCTCCCTAGTAGGCGGCTCCTCAAGGCAAAAGATGCTGGTAGAGTCGGCGCATCAGCTCCATCAGAACCGAAATCTCACGATAATCTACACTCTACACTGCCCTGCCAAGCCAAAGGCCACGCCTCTCCTCGCCGTACGACCCTGCCGGACAAGGCGTGCAGCTGCTCTGCCGATCCAGCCTCAGCTTCGGATTCCCGGCTCTGGGTACCTCCTGTCCATGGAGGTGCGAAGACGCGAAAAAATGGACCTTAGGGCCTCTGACTATGAGTGTGTGTCTTCTCCTGCTTTGGACGTGGCCGGGTGTAGGGCGAAGGGTCTGTAGATCATGACGGGGCCTTCACAGCTTACAACGGTTTGGAGGCTTCGAGAGGAAAAGAGCTGAAACTTCGATGATGCTTGGGGGCAGTCGATTGAACTAAAGCCTATTGCAAACAGCGAAAGCAGATCATGCGCAATGCTCTACACAGATTTACATACTCCGGGCTCGTCCAGCCAGTCTTATTGAACCACAGATTGTCTCGACAAGCTATGTCCAGAACTATTGTTGTCCCCCACTGTCCTCATCTTTAAAGCCCTTCTTGAGCAGGGGACTGCAGTGCACTTAGCCTTGAATGCCTTCAGCTCAGCCCCAGATGACCGCTCTCGTGGCTGCAAACCAACTATAACTACCACAATAATTATAGCAAAAATACAAGTTTACTATGATATACTCGAATATAACTTTTCGCAGCCACCGATTTGGGCACGTACGCGATAGCTCAAAAAATGGGCAGACCAGGCTAGTTTCCTCTTCAAGCACCTTTGCATCCAGCCCAACTGCCACTGCCGGGTACTCCTCCTTAAAACAGGCTTAAAACAAAACACCAGACCCGAACCCTAAATCCTTATTTTGACCCTAAGCTGCCCCAAAATCCCAACAGCTGCACGTACCAAAACCTGAAGCGCACAACCCACGAACTCAACATTCTTCCTTATAACAAAAAATAGTATCCCATATAGCAAACCTTATAATACCCTTGTAGCATACTTACAGTCTACCATTATGCCACACACAATCCTCAAGAAGCCAGAGAAAACTCTGCCTTCCAAAATCCTAAACCCCCGCAACCCGTTTTTGTTGGCATCAGGACCTGTGCAGTCGCCTAAAGCCCCCGCCCCAAGAACCCTCATAGGGGGGCCTTAATAAGCAGAATAGGGTTTTGGGGGCCCATTATTTTATAAGTAACATAACGAACCCCCTAAAAATAGTATAGGTAATTGTCTATCTGGGTCCCTTTTGCTTGCTAAATCCTTACAATAGCCCTTGTGGTAGCCCTTATAGACAGCTTCAATAGAACCCTATTCTAAGTCTTTAGGCCCCTACCTATAGTCTCCATTGTAGTTCCTTTTGGGGTTACCTTTTAGGATCCTTAATATAAAACTGGTTAAACCAAAAAACGGAACTAAAATGGAGACTATAGGTAGCATTTTATGAGCCAGAAACCCAAAGCCCGAAGCCGCACCATAAACCCTCGGACCTAGAGTAAGCTCTGCCGAGGTGCGGGTTGAACTGCCCCTCCGGACAGAGGCTGCAGTTAGAGGCCTCTCGAAGTTTGCAAAACTTCCCAAGCTGCCCCCAGGGGCTCCTTTAAGGGCTCCTTTAAAGGGTCCTATCAGGGATCTCTAGTAGGGTTCCATATGTATTATAGGGGCCTTAATCATTAGGATAGGGTTCCTAGTGTCCGAAAACAAGGGGGTACCTTATTTGGGGGTCCGCTCGGTTTGGGGTGCCATATTTCGGTGCCCTAGTTTCCGAGGTTGTTTATGCAAAGTATGATGCTTTTTGTTTACCGCATGAAGCTTTCCGTGTCTAGGCTTTGTGCTTCGGGCTTTTGGTCTACTACCATCTCCCTCGAAGCTTTCCGCCCCCGGTGCGGGTGTTTCCTACATGTTGTAGCCTTGAAGCCAGGGATCCAACCTAAAGCTCCCTGGCGAAGTGCTCCAAAACTGAAACCCAGAAGCCAAGCACCAAAAGCAACAACACACTGACGCAAACTCCAAGAAACTAGCATTAGTGAGATCTGAGGACGATGCTTCACCCAGAGAGTAGCTGCCGCTGCCACAGACCTGAAATGCAGGGAGGGCATCTGCACGCGCATGGGTACGGGCGAGACATAAAACGGAACAGCTGTAAGGAAGACACAGCTACATGCCATTGACATGGGTGGTTGTCAAAGTTATGCCCCCTTTTCGGTCCCTAATATCATACGGCACCTAACATTCAGGATACCCCAAAATAGAAGGGGACCCTAATTGTGACAACTACCCACATGAAAGCCGCTCTACAAGCATCCAGCCTTGATACCTTCAGGATTTTGGAAGATGCTACGTCTCTTCATAACCCCTGAAGCCTGTCAGCTGGGGTGGTCTTAGAAGGCTACTCCCGAATACGGAGGTCCCTATGCGCTGCAAGCCACTTCCTGCCTCTGTGTGCTCTGAACCCTTGCTAAACCGAGTATCGTTGCACTCGCTCATGCCGGAGACATTGGCAAATTCACCTGGCCAAGGACAGCATAAGTGCCCATGTCCTAAGACTGGCGTCACAACCTCATTTGGATCTGGTGCTGTTCAGGAAACTTTAGGAAATTGACCTAGTTGCCGAGTTCACAAGCCCCCACAAGTGTACACTTTCTGTTTTACAGTAAGTAATATTGCCCCAAAAACTGTAAAGTGTATCCACTCAGCTACTAAGTTGAACCACGGGAAAGTAACAGCGTAGGGCTTCGGATTTTCGAGGACTCAGCGAATTTAGAACCTGACCTTGTCACGGTTCGAGTGTACGTACGCTGTTCAGTGCCACAGGACTGAAGCGCTCCAGTAGTGTTCATGATGGCAAGTCATGCGGGGCTTACCCGATCCATGATGTGGACTGGGAGTACGACGACGACTACGGCACCAGCAGGACAGTACCACAACATGTCTCGGAAGAGCTGCATAGCCTCGTTTGACCTTTGACATGCGGATGACATTATGGAGAAAATTAGGTCTGTGACACGAGTTGTTCAATATGAAAGCGAAACCCAAAACAGTCGTCAGGAACTACCTTTCACTGCGGGTGTGCGGGCTGCAATTTCTGGCGCCTGGTGGGCAAGCAGTGCACCCCAACTGCGCAGTGAGCGCATTGAAACGTCCAGGTACACAATCCAGACAGGAAGCGGCGCCTTGCGGAGATCTGAACAGGCGTTGCCGGCTTCCGGCTACTCTTCGAGAGCAGCTTGGGCTTCGGGTTCGTCAGTCCACCAACAAAAGCAAAGCTTACCCGACCTTATTGACATCCGTAAGTTCGTATTGAGAACTCCCATCAAATCGAAGGCGTTTCCGGCCTCCAATACTATTAAATTTCCCGCCACAGTTGACTAACGCCTCCAACCAACATCAACCGCAAAACAAAAACGGTCAATGACAACCAACCACAACCACAGTCACAACAGAAACAACAAAACACAAACAACAACAGACAAACAACAAACAACAACAACCAACAACAAACAACACCAACCGACACCAAGCAAAACCAAACTGACACAACCACCAACAACAACAAGAAGAACAACACCAGCAGCAGCAGAAGCGGCAGCAGCAGCAGCTGGAGCAGCAGCAGCAGCAGCAACAGCACCAGCAACAACAAGAGTAGCAACAAGAGCAACAACAGCAACAACGACCACGACAGCAGCAGCAGCAGCAGCAGCAGCAGCAGCAGCAGCAGCAGCAACAGCACCACCAACCACCACCACCACCACCATCAAGAAGAACAAGATCAAGATCGAGATCGAGAACAAGAACAAGAACAACCACAACCACCACCACAACCACCACAACCACCACAACCACAACCACAACCACGACCACGACCACGACCGCGTCACCACCAACAATAACAAGAACAATAACAAGTTCCAGAGCAGGGACAGCAACGGCAGCGGCAAGCGCAACAGCAGCAGCAGCAGCAGCAGCAGCAGCAGCAGCAACAGCAACAACAACAACAACAACAGCAACAGCACGAAAAAACATGACGGTGATGATGATGATGCTGATGATGTTGGCATAATGACAATGATGATACTCTGATGGTGATGATGGTGATGATGATGATGATGATGTCCGCAGCCTTCAGAGGCCGCATACGTGCCCTCTGGGCAGGGGTCGCAAGCAGTGGACCGGAAATTCTGGGCAAAGTAGCCTCAGGTCTTCAAGACGAAATCTGGCCTATAATGTTCAGTTCAGGTTTGGGCCCTGATATGTTTCCGTTCCTTAGATTAGAAGGAAAGGGTCAAGATTTTGCAGCCTTTGGTGGTCTGGGAAATCGAAGGCTGATCTGCTCTTCGGCGCTTGCCTTCGGACATCTGCGGGTTTTGGGTGCCGGCCATACAGTCGGGCCCAGAGAGCCCAATACCCCTTAATAGGGAATATACCTGAAATTCTTGTGATTTCAGCAGAAATATTCCTTAATTAAGGGGTATTGGGCTCTCTGGGTAGGCCCTTGAGGTTCGCGAATCTTTCAATGAAGGAGACTTTCCTCTTTGCATGCTTTCGAAGAGGCGTTGCTTTCAGTAGACTCCTAAAGCCTGGCTGGAGACCTCCTGAAGTTGTAAACGTGGATCAGAGCAATGTCTAAGTCGTCATGCTGGACTCTGCAAAGAAGACAGCAGGCACAGTAAAGTAAACCCCCAACCCGAAACCCCAAAACCCTACCATTTTTATGGTTAAGCAATTGAACAGCAAGAAGGCATACTGTTTTATAAAACACTACCATTTTTATGGTTAAGCAATGAAAAAGCAAGAAGGCAAAGCCCCACAACCCCAATGGAGCCCCTGACCTCGACCGAAGTTTGGCGGTTCCACACAAGCTGAACGCATCACATCCAAGCCGCCCTCTTCGCAAAGTACACCTGAGATGCATATGCAAGGCTTGTAGGATTGATTAGGGGCCCTGATTTGTGTGGCTTCGGTTTGGGGGTATATCATGTTTAGGACTTGCAGGGGTTGTAAAGACTGAATGGCCCCCTCGTTTGGCAGACATGCGGGAGTTTCAAAAGATAGGGGACCCTAATATAGTACCCTAAATAGTAGGATCCTTATTATAAGGACCCCCCTAATTTTCGGAAACTCCCATGTGTTGCCTGTCCTGACCCTCTGTAGCTTAGTTACTCAGCCTGGTACATCCCAGAAACGACATCGAGGGACAACAAAAAAGGCAACAGCACGAGAAAGAGAGGGAGAGGGAGAGGGAACAGGCCTGTGAAAATCTATGCCTCTCTATGCATACATATATATATATATATAATATATATATATATATATATATATATAATATGATCAAGACACGTGTGTGTGTACGTATGTCCGTAAACACATACACAAGCATGTACGTATGTGCATGTGTGTAAGCATGAAAACGCATGTCTATGCGCATATACAAATGTGTAAGTATGTGTATATATAAATATGAATCAAAAACAAAAAATAAATATGTGTACATATATATATATATGTGTCATAATTGTGTATATGTATGTGTATATATATATATATATATATATATATATATATATAGATGAGGTGATGATGGTCTTGTTCGTCTATTTACGGACGTACTTTTTGCATAATTCACATACTGTACGGGGGAGCTTAGAGGGGGGAGCGTAGACTCCTGTGAACACACACGCGGCCATCTGAAGCACCTGTTCCACATGCGACTCTATAAGAAAGACGCTCAGAAAGTTGCTCAGGCCGCAAAGCAGACATAGGCGCCTGAACAGCGTGTGGATGCCGCATCGATGGGTGAGCATGGATGAAGCATGGCCTGGATCCTCCTCACCCGCAATACCGTAAAAAAAAAAAAAGGGACTTCGTGAAGGCGTCCAGCACGTGCGAAGATGCCAAGTGGCATCTGCTACTGGCCGACATCGCCGCAAACTCGCCAGGCCCACAGTCAAGGCAGCTTGCAGCTCCTTTCCATGTAGGGAGGGCTTAGGATTTAGGGTTGGGACTTATCTTCTCTGTCGTAGGGAACCTGGGACGGATTGTGGATCCGAGTTTCCCGGCATTTCGCGTTCAAGGCTCTGGGCAAAATGAGACAACAACAACAACAGCTTGGGATGGACGCATGGACCTTCCGAAATAAGACTGCTCAACTATACGGGCAACTGCCCGGAGACAAGACCTGGCCTCCTCAAGACTCAGCCCAGCAAGTCTCGGTAAGTTCTGGCTGAGTCTGGCTGATAGCTTCTTCAAAACCTACTTGTCGGGTATCATGGGGAACTGAAGGTTAACCGCTTTGGGTATATAGGGATTATACCACCCAAAAGGTTAAAGGTTGCCTACTCTACTACTAGGAAAACCTCAAGAGCTCAGAAGAAGATTCACTCTCAAGGCTTAGCTCCCTGTTGCCGGGGGGGGTTGACAGAGTCGGCGCTTGAAGTTGGGGTCAAGTGCATCAGCCCTTATGATAAGGATCCTACTATTTAGGGTACTATATTGGGGCCCCTAATTATCGGAAATTCCCACAGCCTTCCACCGTTTCTACTGACTCGGAGTGGCTCGAAGCATCCGCAAATTTCGGAACCGCAGTGAAGGAAAACTCTAACCCCTCCCCCATTCCCCCCCCCTCCCCCCGAATTTCGGCCCGAAACTGTTGAAGTCCCGCCCCCATTTTAGCATCCCTTCCTTCCCGCGAAGAAGTCCCGGCGCTACAAGGCGAGCACTGCGTCTTCCCGGTGCTATCCTTCCCAGGACTCCCAGGCAGCTACCCAGAGACTCCAATATCACTTAATTACGGAATCATATTAGGGATCCAAGTATAATTTAAAGGAATATTCCGTAATTCAGGGATATTGCGGATATTGGCGTCTCTGGGTCAGCTTTCTGGAGCACAGGCTTCTTGGGCTTCTCGTTTCAGGCTCTGAGCGGGTTTTCAGGTTCTGAAGCTTTCGGGTGCTGGGCAAAGAAAGCCTTGAGCATGACACTTGCACAGCTAGGGACCCTGGAAACATGGACATGGACAACACCCTGTTATGGTCTTGATGCTCAGTTAGCGTACAAAAACTTATGCTGCTTGGAATGTCGAGTGGTTGCAGGATTGTGCATGGCGCTCGGCAGCTTTGAGATACCCGAATCAACCGTATTTCGAAGGACCCGCAACATGATAACACAATAGCAGCACTACATGCAGCATCCCCGAAAGCATGACATACGGTATACCCCATTCTCTAAGTGGTATACCGAACCCCCCCAGTGAATTTTGGACCATGGATTAGCAACAGAATTAGAAACAAGCTCCCAGCAAGAAGAAGCCAACCGAGACCTCGAAAATCCTCGCGCTAAAGAAAAGGTAGCCTCAATCAAGGTCACAACAACAAGTACCCAACTGAGACCTCGAAAATCCTCGCGCTAGAGAAAGGGTAGCAGTAGGTTTGTATTGCTGCACATCTTGTTCACGCAATACTTTTTGAACGAGGTCTCTCTGAAGTGCCTCCAAGTTGTCTGTTCAGCTGGGATGCTCACACAATGCTAAAAACCAAAACACTCTCACATCACTATGACAGAATGGAAACATGCTGCACCATTACCTGGCTACAACATACGGTCGTTTATGACCCTTACCATATTCTTGCCATAATTCAACCATTGCTACCGCTAGTGAGGCCGACCGGACCCCCTGGATTGTCACCGAAACGAACTTACAGAACAACACTGCTTCAGCTAGCGCAGGTCGAGTCGTGCCCTGAATTTCTCGCTCACCGCTCACCACACACTTGATTCTTGCGGTCTTCCTAGCGGTAGTCTCACAACCGCTACCCCGGCCACCGCCAACAGCGCCACCGCAACAGCCATCATCACTACTACCCCTTCTGCTTCTTCTTCTTCAATACCTTATCCTCTGCTGGCTCTTCCTCTCCTTCTACTTCCGCCTCGGCTGCGGCTACTTCTGCTGCCACTGATGCTGCTCCTCATCCCCTTCTTTTCCTTCCGCCCGTACTTCTACTCAGAAGCCTTGCCAATGCCTGTGTAGCTGCGTTTTTCCCAGATTTCTGAGGCTGCTCATGCCGGACGGGCTTCCTGAATTTGCAAATCACAAGGTGTTTGCATGTGGATCTGCAGTCTTTGTTGCTGTGACATATTGCCATTCCCAGCACTCCGCCTGCGACCACCACCATCGAAGCCCTAGTTGCTGAGTTCATAAACCCCAAAAGTGTATACTTTCAGTTTTATGGTAGGCAATATTATCACACAAAAAGTGCAGTGTATCTACTCAGCTACTAAGAAGCTACCTCCACTGTCACGACCTTCACTTAAGACGAAACCTGCCGACGGTACTCCGACCACTACAAACCACCTCGATATATCTGTCCACCTTTCTATAGATGGATCAACCTGTCTATGTCTCTCCATACATATACATATATACGTATATACACATATAGGTATGTATCTATTATGTGCGTATATATATATATATATGTATGTATAGAGAAAAACAGAGAGAGGTTCATATACGGATGTATGTACATCTGTAGAGATATCCCTGAGTGTTCAAGCCATGGTTGTCTTTGTCGGCCACAGCTTATGTGATGTGCTTTGGCTAACCTCAATAGTAAAATTAAGTCTTCCCAAACGAAGTTCAGGATACGAGTACCAATTTCTCACCGTCTCTCAAGGACTTAACCGTTACATGATACATGAGCATAAATTACAAGCCGAGGCTCTGCATAGAAGCCCCCTGAGCAGTCATTGCACGAGCTGGAGCCCGCAGCCCCGGCGAAGCGACCCAGGGCGCCTAAGTCAGCTTTTTTTTTTTTTTTTGGGAGGGGGGGGGGGGGGGGGGGGGGGCTCTAAGGACGTTTACAGGTCGACGGGTTCGCGTGTCCCCATGGGCGAGGCTCAGGGACCGGGAGCCAAGAACAGGAACAAAGGGTCACTGTAGCGGCTCTAAACCGGGCGGTTGCAATTTGCGTGGTTGTCAAAATTATGGTCCCTTTTTGGGTCCCTAATATAATACGGCACCTACACATAACTTTGACAACTACCCATTTGAGGACGGGGGGGTGGTTCTCCGAGGAGCTACTGTCAGCGTCCTTGTCGGGTCACTAACATGATGACTCCGTAGATGAGGGTGTGTTGAATCTTTTGCAAAAGTCGTCGTTAGATTCCATGCATGCAAGATTCTACATCTAAAGATCAATAAGTCCAGAATTCTTGGGCTCCCCCAGTCTCTGAACCCCACTGACAGATCAGAACACCAATTGCTTCGGAGGCACACTGCTCACAGCTGCCTCAGCTTTCTGGTCTTTCATCCCATAGTGATGTCTGATGCCCGCAAAACTACGGAGAAACCACAAAGCCATACCAAAGAGCCTGCAAAAATACCCGGGTGCCTGGAAGGCTCAAAGCCTGGATCAACACAGCTCGATCTTCACTGCAAGCGTCTGTTCGGCCCCTGCCGTCTCTGCACCTGTTTCCTACAAAGTCCGATGCCCAAGACAACTTGAAATCGTAGACACTGTATAAACATCAGAGACGCGCAGAGAGAGAGAGAGAGAGAGAGATAGAGAGAGAGGAGAGAGAGAGAGAGAGAGAGAGAGAGAGAGAGAGAGAGAGAGAGAGAGAGAGAGAGAGAGAGAGAGAGAGAGAGAGAGAGCGAGAGAGTGATGGAGAGAGCGAGAGAGAGAGAGAGTGAAAGAGCAGAAAGTGAAGCAGAAATCAAACAAAGCAGAAGCAGAAATCATCTAGGCGCTCCTGCTTCAAGCTGAAACCAAGAAAAGCCGCGGCCTTCAACTAAGAAACCCTGAGCAACGAAGAATGCAACGGTATTAAAAAAACAAGCCTATAAGCCCAGCCATTTATCTCCCCAAGCGTACGCTGTTCTCAACCCCTATAATAACCCGCAGGCCCAAAGCCCAAGTCTTCTTCCTACACCCATAACCCTACAACCCCTCTTTCCTGAACCCTTTTGCACAGACTTGTATATGCCGGCCCGGATGTCGGAAAACCCTAAACACTATAAACCCTAAACTCCACACCTTGCAAGGGCCTGGGCCGGAGCAGAGAAAAAGCGGGCCAAGCTGCCGTCTCCGGCTTCTGCAAAGCTACCGGCCGGGCACTGGTAGCCTCGCGAGGCAGAAGCCGCAAATAGGAAAAAATTGTGAGGGTTTCGGGGTTTAGAGTTCGAGGTCCGAGCCGCAAATAGGAAAAACTGGGGGGGGGGGGGGGGGTTCGGGTTTTGGAGTTCATGTAAGGCCTGAGGCTTTGGGGATTTAGGGCTCGGGGAAGTCGGGGTTTAAGGGGTGGTTCTCTTGCTGCTTGCCTCCAGCATCAGGAGCCACGGCAAGCACGGTTCGTTACAAGACTACAACGGTAGCTTCGCATCTGCAAAGCCAAAGCCGACAGGGCTACAGGGAGGCTCAGTCAGCAGCAAAGGTCTAGGGTTTAGGGGTTTAGGGCTTGTAGGGTTTATGGGTTATAGGGGTTAGGGTGTTGGGCTTATAGGGTTTAGGGGGTTTGGGGCCTTCGTTGAAGTCAGCACTATATCGCACACCATCTCTAGCGGCTTCTTGAGTCTCAACGGGGAGCCCCTTTGTCAATACTGTACAGGCCCTAATAAGTAGAAGACGGTTTAGGGTATAATTATTATACTGTAATTACAATAAGGAACCCCCCAAACCCTATTCTAATCTTTAAGCAATAGCAAGGTTCAAGCAAACAGAGCGTGAAATCTTCAGTGCGCGGTGCTCATAGCACCAAGGGAAGCACTGTTGTACACTCTGGCTTCAAGCAGCTCGTGAAGCATAGCTGCTCAAGTTCAGGTCTTAAGGGGCTTCACGCAGTTGAGAGCTTGTCAGGGCTGTTTAGGCAGGCAGAGCCTGACGCTTCCAGTTGCCAGCATAGCAACTTCTGTGGCCACAATCAGTCACTGTAGCAGGTAGGGCTCAGGTAGACAAAGCAATCTTCCAGAGCTTGCATCATCCCAGCATCCTATCAAAGTAGAAAGGTCAGCTCACAGTGTAGGATTTAGGTTCAGGGTCTTGGGATTTGGGATTTAGTGAACTAGAGGGTTTCGGCATCTAGCCAGACAAGGTGCATTAAGCTTTAATGCGTTCCGTATATCTGACAAGTTGGACTTGCAGCGACTCCGCTTAAACCTACTGCTCACGAAAGCGACTTTCAAAACCCTCGATAGGCACATAACCCCGCGGCAGTCTCCTTGTTCTCTGTTTATGCTCTGGCGTTCTCTGGCAACGGGGTTTAGCAGATCCCCAATTTAAACCAATGAGCGGCCTGGGAAGCTGCTGGCCAGCTCAAATTTCCTCAACATCAGAGGTCTAAGTGTTCGACCTGAACGATGGTTACCCTCAACCTTGACAGACCCTAAACACTGAACTGGCCATGAAAGGCGTCGGGCTCGCCCCAGATTACTAAGGGCAAGCGGCACGAGGTCTGCCCGGCAGTGCTAGAGAATCCAGCGTTGCAGGTGAAGCCTGGATTTGGGGCTTAAGGGGTTAGAGTTCGTGAGTTAGAGCCGCACCCTCAACGCGAGATCACGGAATGCCAAAGCAATGCACCAAGTTAGCCAGCGTCTACCCGAAGCCCAAACAAGTGCTGCATGGCTACTTTACACGAACATCTTTCACAATCTTGGCATGGGGCAGAAGCTCATTGCCAAATACGGCTGATAGGTCCCAGCGACACCTTAAGGCACATCGGAGGCCAGTGCAGGGTGCCATTCCAGCTTCGGGGATCTCTCTTTCTTTCTAATATAGGGGCCTTAATAATTAGAATAGGGTTTTGGGGCCCACTATACTATACACCCCCCCCAAAAAATAGTATTGGTAATAATTCAGGCCCCTGTATTACGTCTGCACTTCGATCATGCCGGGACCTGGTAACTTGGAGACGGCACTTCCAACTCTACGACAAAACCCGGAAAATGATTCCCTGGGCTTTTAAGTGACCGGGGAGAAACAAGAATAAACTACTATTTCACAATGGTTCCTTTCAGAAAAAGCATTAAAGTATACTGCATGGGACCCTTTCAGAAAAAGCATTTAAGTATACTCCAAAGCCCAGTTCCTGCATGGGACCCTTTGAGGCCCAGACCTAAACCCCCCAAAGTAGCTAGAATCATGGCCTTGCACAGCTATTGGGCATTATGTTACCTCCTTTGGGGGGTTTAGGGGATCCCTATAGTAGTCCCTATATCATCCCCAATAGTCTCCATAATCCATCTTCTACTAAGAACCAGAGGACTTTCAGGTGGCCCATAATCTTACCTTTGGTTAGTAGGGAATGGAGGAATGGGGTAGTCTTATAACTACTATTACTACCATTCCTCCATTCCCTACAAACCAAAGGTAAGTAATCTGATCGCTCCCTGCCGGCCCCTGTCCGTTTTCAAACAGCTTGGGCTGATCTGGAGGATGAAAGCTACAAAGTATAAATGGGGGGCCTTAATAATTCGAATCAGGTTCCCTTTAAAGGGTTCCTCAAAGGGGGTCTACAAGGGTACTAGAATATAGGGGCCTTAATGATTGGAATCGGGTTTTGGGGCCCGTTGATACTATAGTGTTGGAAATTATTTTGGCCCCGATAGTATACGGGCAAGCACCCAGCATGAATGGAGGTTTGCAGGTTCTGGCCACATCCGAATCCCGGCGTAGGGCTCGTGGCGTATAGATCACATGGCGACTGAGCACGGCACATTGCGAACAGCTCTGGGCGCCTGAGATCGCACGGGAAGCTCGTCGAAGGCAAGAGACGTGTGGATAGGGTCGCCGCACAAGGAAGTGGGGTTGGGGGGTTCAAGTTTGAGGGGCTTCATTATTCATGCCATTCATTTCGGACCTAGATGTATTTGCACCAAGAACTACAAGAACCTGCATCATTGCCCTGGATGTGCACTTCCCCACACAAATATGTCGGAAAGCGGTATGCCTCGTTTTGGGTCACGGCCAGCGGCGTTTACCGTAGAAGTCAAGTCTGTCGTCATCACAGCTCCAGAAACACCCTGGGCTAACAAATGCACACAAATTCTAAGGGTACGAGAACCTGCAGTACTTTAACTGATATTGGGTTATAGATGTGGCTATTGGGCGATAAATGGTTCACGGTGATGTAACTACCCAAAACGGCCGGCGCCTTACCTTGTCCATTCTGGGCAAATGCACCCTTTCTATATGGTAAGGTGTTCTAGGATGTAGTGGCTACCATTTGGGCTGTGGTGGTGCGATTACCCAAACTGGGCAAGGATTATCCTATCAAGTAAGGTACCCCTATTTTCCGAAAGTTCAATGAATTGGGAACTGCCCCCATACAGTAATTGGGCCACTATTAAGGACCTAATCTATCTATATTATGAATACTATCCAACTGTTACTCAGTGGGGGCAGTACACAACCAATGAAGACTTTCTGAAGCTAAACCCTAACCCCAAAATCCTAAACCTTGGCTCTCTTTGCCTCGCCCGGAGCTCCGCCCGGCTTCACAAGCCTCGCAGTACCGGGCCTTCCGTGGCGGACTGGGTTGGGGGGGTGGGCCTGTACTAGTCCATGCCTGGGATTGTAGTAGAAAGATAAACTTCTATATTATAATTCTGTTCCTTCTTGAGTGTAGGTACCCATAAAAATTGAAAATTTCATCCAACTATGGCAAAGAGTTTACGCATCTCAATAATCGGTCGGGCAAGCTTTGCTTTACTGGGGGGACCCCTAATCAAACAGTCACATTACGAGGCTGCGGGGTTAAGGGAAATTCAGAGTTTTGGGTTCAGGGATGTTGAGGCCCGGGTGAAGGTCTGGTGTTTTGCCGGGAATTCAGTTGCGCTTCCAGGTTTCCTCGGGGCTCCCGTTACCTAAATCAAGGCGACTATTTAGGCAACTCGAGCCCACAATTCCAGAAACCGGCAGGCAGTCCGGCGATTCTGTGTGGTTTAGTAGATCTAGGGCCAGGATGAAGCCCAAAACCTTAAATCCTGCCCTGACCTTGAATCCACGGCCTTATGGACACTAAACACCAAGGTTCTATCCCAAGGGCTCATGACTCCTGGGTTTCGTGGCATTGGGATGCAGAGCATGATACTCCTGCCCGAGTCGGCTTAGTCTGGGTTCACCGTGTGTTGCCAACGGCACCAGTACGGTCGCAGATGTGGTAACAAGAGTAACAGCAGTAGTGGCAGCAACGGCAAGAAAAAACACTGATTGTCGTGCTCCCAATGATAATAGCGCAAATATTCGATGTTTCTCTGGCGAGCTGGCAAGGCAGTAATCCCGTATATTCGATGTTGGGCAATATAGGGCTGGGTTTTAGGGATCTAGGGTTGCCCCGGCGTAATCCAAAGATTGGCAGAAATCATTTGCCTCTACTGAGTCACTGTATCCTCCTCTCTCTCTGTCTCTCTCTCGTCTCTCTCTCACTCTCTCTCTCTCTCTCTCTCCCGCTCTCTCTCATGCTCGCTGCCGTTGCATCCAGGCCTTGCAGCATGAAGAATCGAATTTCGAAAGCTTAGCTAGTCAAGCAGCTAGGCGCTGGCCTTGTCGGTACCCGACTTGGCAAATCCTGCCCCGCAGTCGTAGCAGGTCCCTGGGAAGCGTCGAGGCTTTCGGGTGGGGGCCCGGGCGGGGGCAGATTTGCTTCGGGCCCTGGCTCGAAACAGCTTCAAAGCACCAAACAACCCCAAGGACCCCTTCAAAACCCTTTCAAAGCCCAACAGCGCACCAAAACGCTGAACACCCAACAACCCTAAACCATGTGCCGACAAAGCTCCGGAACTCCCTGAGCCGCACGAGAGCCTCAAAGGGCTGTAGGGTCGAGGAGGAATCTAGTGCAAGGTCGGAAGCCGAAGAAGCACCACTCTGAGAGTTGCGAAGCGTTGGGTTTAAGGGTTCAGGGTCAAGCACAAAACTTTTGGGAATTCTGGATGTGAGTATTTGGAAGAATGAGAAAACGGGGTGGAAAACCAGTTACAATTATTAGGACCCTTCTATTCAGGATCCACGGTGGGCTTCTGAAGGAGTGGAGGGCCTTTTGATGCCTTTTGGGGGGAAACTGTTGCTACAGGGCTTGAGAGTCTGGATGTCTTGGGCCTGGCAAGAGAAAATTGAATGATGAGAGGGTTGGGGCTCCTTTAAGGGTTTGGGATCTCCTGTCTGCGATCACTCATAGAGACCCTTCTTCGGTCCTTATTATGGGCATTCAGGCCCCTTACGCCCCTTCCCCCTAACCGTTTAAGGGTCCCTATGAATCACGGTCACGCAGGGGCCTGGATACTTAAAGGTTCCTTGGTTTAAGTATGCCATGATGCAACTCCCAAAATCCTGTGCTCTACTAGACCTAAGAATAACCTAGGAATAAAGAAGGTGCCCTTTTTGGATTAAAGGGGGGTATATAAGGGAACCTGAACCCCAAAAAAGGGAATAAGGGCTTACTCTGGGTCCTAGTCTATTAAAGCCCCTTTAGTAGGGAGTCTTTGTGTTCCTCCGAAGCTCCATTCGCGGCCTTAAAGAAGTCAGTGAAATCCCATGAGGCCAGGGATGCCAAATGCTTGAATGAAGCCTGGAGTGCCTAGCCATGCCTTAACCCAAAGTAACCTACCTTATTAAGGACTTGTATAAAGAAATCATATTAGGGAACCGTAAAAAAGGCAGGTTCCTTTTAGGGTCCAGGTATAGGAACTTCAATAGTTAGAGTACACCTTGGGTGTGGATGCTAGTATGCTTAGTCACTTATCTTAGGGACTTCAAAGGGATGGCCACGTAAACCCTCAAAACTCTATGAAAAGCCGAAACCTAAGTCGAAAACTCGGAATCCTAGACTCTCAAGACCTACTCCCGGCTGCAAAGCAACAGATACTGGCCACTGCCGCAGCTCCGACACTCGTTGCAGGTCTCTATCCTTAGATGTGGGGCCGCGGAGATTGGTCGCAGTAGATCCTCCTCTTTATGCCAATATGGGAGTTTCCGAAAATAGGGGACCCTAATACAGTACCCTAAATAGTAGGATCCTTAATATTAGGACCCCAAAATGAGGTACCCTAATTTTCGGGCACTCCCATATCTTCGTCCGGCTTTGCTTCTGCCGACATTGGATTAAAGAAGTCGCTACTTGCTGCCAGGTGCTGATTGCCATTCATGAAGCTGAAGAACTCACAGTCGGCGGAAGACACCCTCGGCAAGTCTGTTCTTGCTGGGGCTTGAGCTGTTTACTGGTCAGGGTTCTCTTCGGATTGTATACTGTAGGACACTGTAGGGGCTACCATGGCCGGGCAGATCTGGCTCTTGCCCCTTTCGCTTCACTGGGACTCGGCCCGGCACCAGTAGTAGCCATCTGGGCAACATGCATCTTGCTCGCAGCCTTCGGGTTTCGAATTGAAGGCCCTTTCTAATGTATGGGTTCGCAGCAGTATGGACCAACATGCAGGCCTTCCACTTCTTTTTGCCTAAGTAACAAAAGCCCAGGTCTGGGCAGCCGTTTGATTTCTTTAGCTCAGCCCGAAACCCTGGGCTGGGCACTCCCTAACCCTGCCACCCTCAGCCTGTGTTTTCGCAGGCAGACTGCCACTGCCCCCAGGAAACTGGGAAGATGAGCAAGGCCGCAGCCTGAGGAAGACCCGGAAAGAGTACGATCAAGTCGAGTTTAGGGTTTAGGGACACGGTCACCAGTGTGAGGAGAATTAGCATCCTCTGCTTCGTCTATGTCCATTGCCACGTTCGCTATTACCGTCGTTATGATTGCCGGTGTATGCAGCGCCCTTACCAAGGTCGTGTCCTTGGGCTCGACTATCCAGTGTGAACCAATATAAGAGCCTGAATAATTTCAGTAGGGTTTGGGGCCCATCATAGCATAAATACAGTAAGCAAGCCCCGAAATAGTTTGCATTTATTTTGCGAGTGCAGAAAATCATTGGTTACTAAGACTAAGACTTCAAAACTGATTGTTAGGATCAATTCCGAATGAATTGATGTCTTGCAAACGGGGGTTCCTGGGTCCTACTGGGTGCACAGTCTCGAGTCCAGGAAGTCTAAAGTCTAAGAGTCTAGGGTGACGATAGGGCTATACGGCTGTAGGGAAGTGCTCATGGGGTTTGGCAGTCACCTTGAGAGGCACAGATGATTGACTGAGAAACAAGGACTGTCTGCGCGCATGGAGGTAACTATTTCGGCCCCTATACCAAAAATCCTCATAATTGTGATAATGGCCCTTATGGTAACCCTTATAGACACCTTTAAAAGACCCATAATGGCCCTTATGGTAACCCTTATAGACACCTTTAAAGGAGCCCGAACTATGGGGCAAGTGTTGGCGCGGCCTTGAGCAGCAGGCGACTTGAAGTTACCATGGCTGCGCGAGCCGCAGTCAGACAAAGGCTCGGCGCTTCATTTACAAAGCGGGTCCCCCAAGAATTACCATGGGTGGTTGGCCAAATTAGGGACCCTTTTTGGGTCCTTGTTTAGGGTACCCAAAAATTTATTTGACAACCACCCACATCGAGAGAAGTAAAGATTGGGACAGAAGGGATGGTGACTTGATGATGGTGAGCATGTTCACTAGAAAGCAAATGACACTCCACAGAAGTGTATCATTCAGCGCATAGTGCCTTTGGGATGTGAAACTTTGACACAATCGTCGAGCTAGTCACCCCTAATTTCGCACTCTCAAGCCGTCTCAAGCCTACAGCATTAGGGCTTAGTCTAGCAAGCACATAGGCATGCCAACTACCTGCTTGTCCGAATTTGGCCGTGTCTTTCCGCGTCTAGGTCTGAGAGAAACGCTGATCCTCGACGGCTTACGGTCTCGGGCTCAAAGAAGCATGGCTGGTAATACACTGTCTGCAAAGTCTAGGGCTTGGAACTTGAACTATGGTGGCCCCGCAGGGCCTGCTTGAAAGAAACATCGGCCCACACAAGCTCATGGCATCTTCAAGGCACGGCAACTCATTCATCGGATGAGCAACCAATTATCGGATGAAGGTGTGGTAAGGCTAACGGTAACTAGGAGTAGGCCCAACCCAACGCGAGCTTTAGAGCTGACGAGAGTGCGCGCGGTCCAAGTGCAGCCGTGTACACACCGCTTTGCACCCCACGGCCTTTTGCAGCTCCAGCACAACTTAGAGTCTTGCACGGATATGGGGAAGTAGTTGGATGTCCACCAGACATTGTGATTCAGACTTAGATAGAAAGCGAGCCACCTCGCATGACTCGAAAGCCCGCAAGATAGATCCAACACACCGATGAACATGGTAGCAACCGTCCGATCCGAACGAAGTGTGTCTGGGGTAATTAGCTGCCAATCAAACTCAAGCCCCAACCGCTTGAAACCTTATGTTCTGGATCCGAAAAAGCGGGGGGCAACTGCCTAGAAGTTCTGCTTGACTGAACCACGCAGGGAAGTCGCACAAAGTGCAAGAAGCACAAGCTCGAGGAATGAAGCGTCACATCAATCCTGAAAAGGGCTCGTCGGGGGACTCGCGGACATACTTTAGGGGCCTAAACAATTACCTATACTATTTTAAGGGGGTTCCCTTTCTATACTTACAGCTATAGTCCACAAATCCTATTCTAATTATTAAGGCCCCTACACTAAATCTTTATGATAGCCCTTTATAGCAGCCCTTACAGACCCCTTTAAAGGCACCCTATTCTGGTTATTAAGGCCCCTACAGTACAGTGAGCCTGAACCTTACAGCCTGGGCAACGCAAACCCAATATAGGGGCAATCATTTGGGGTATATTGTACTCTAGTTTCAATAAGGAATCCCCAAAAATGATACTGGAAATTATTTCGGCCCGTATAATACTAAAAAATATAAGAAGGGACCCCCAAAATAGGCCCGTATATTCGGCCCTGGCCCTAACCCTGAAGGAGTATCCCGGTGGAGTGGCTTAGGACGGCAAGGGGTGCACCTGCTGCTCTTCGTGTGCCGAGGCCTCAGGTCAACTGCATTGCAAACCATACTACGCACTCGACTCAAACAGAAAATGTGAAACAGGATATGATATACATCTGAATTTGTATACTGCTTGTTTGTACCATCAGTTAATGTATTTTGTCTACTTAGAGATTTATTTTGCCACCATACACTTAGCAACAACACTTTGCAAACAGCGCAAAACAGCATCACATAGCACTGTAGCATAGCATACCGTGACCAACTATGAAATGGGCAATAGGGCCTTAATCATTAGAATAGGGCTTTAGGGTGCATTACACTATAATTACGATAAGGGACCACCCAAAATAGTATAGGTAGTCATCTAGGCCCCTTATTAATCCTTACAATAGCCGTTACTCTAGTCAAGTCCTTATTGTAGTAAGGGACCCCCAAAATGATACAGGGAATTCTTAAGGTCCCTTTAGTCCCTGTGAGTAGAGGTCCCCCACTCCAGCTCTAAAATCACCAGAAGCAGACTGCCCTCCATCTCGCCGAGAAGTGATGGTTTCGGGTAAACCCTACTTGGAGGTTCATGGATAGTTACAAGTAATTAGGGTTACAAGTAGGATAACTACAGCTATAACCCATATTAATGGACATATAACCGCACTTATAACTACCCACGAACCTCCAAGTAGGGCCGTCCAATAAGGCGCAGGGTTTTGGGCTTGCAGTGTGCTCGCCATTTATGCAGTTGAGGTAATTATTCAACTTCCCGGCAAATCGGTCTTGAACTGCTGGTCTTGTAACGTGCTTTCTCATTCGGCTCTGCCCAACCCTGACCGGATTCGCAGTATTTCTGAAACAGAAGCCTGCCACGAGGATTGCACCTTTTGAGAAAGACAAAGCACCCAACATCTTAAGCACATTGTCTGCTTCAGTCGTTGATCCATCTCCCTCCGCAACTAAAGGTAACTTGACATCGTCCCGCTCTGAGTTTCGTTTTCCGGGTACAAGTCAAAGGGACGCCACTCCCCGCCGACCCCCTAAGGGCCAACACCCTTCAACCCCAAAATCATGTTGGGTCTCCCTACCGAAAGCGACCTCAGAACCTGAACGGCCTTCGACAAGGAGGCAGCAACGTTCTCTCTGAGGCTTCCGCGGTCTGCTCCCGCTTCTTCCGCACCTTGTCCAGCTTGTTCCTCGCCTTTTGGGATTCCGGGTATAGGACTATTGGGAGGCTGCTGCGTCGTGTCGACTCCTTGTCCGTCCTGGAGGTCCAACATCGGGGCCCAAATTATGTATAGAAGAAGGCTGATTGAAGAACGTGAAGGTCTTGCTACTCTCTGCTCAATGCCGCCTTCTGACCAATTGTTGCTGCTACTCCTGCTGCTACCTCTACTGCTGCAGCTACCACCACGACCTACTACCTACTACTCACGACCACAACCTCCCACCTACAACCTACAACCAAAAACCTACCACGGACAACCCGCTACCTACTACCACTATCACTACTAGCACTACCACTACCACTACCACTACTCCACTACTCCACTACTGCTGCTACTACTACTACCACTACTACTACTACGACTACTACTATACCACCACCACTACCACTACGACGACGACTAATTACCAATACTACAACTACCTCTAACCTACTCCTACTCCTGCTACTACTACTACCACTACTACTACTACTACTACTGCTACTACTACTACTACTACTACTACTACTACTACTACTACTACTCCTACTCCTACTCCTACTCCTACTCCTACTCCTACTCCTACTCCTACTCCTACTGCTACTGCCACTGCCACTGCCACTGCTGCTGAACTACCACCACTACCACTACCACTGGTAAAAGTGGCGCACTCCCACTAACACCGAGCGCAGCCCTATTCACCACTACCACTACCACTACGACTACTACTACTACGACTCCTACTACAACAACAACAACAACTACTACTACTACTACTACTGCAACTGCAACCACAACTACTAATAACAGTATCAATAATTACTTAAACAACTCCTGCTGCCGCTGCTGCTGCTGCCGGCAGTGCTACTGGTAGTGGAACTGGTAATGGTACTGACACTAGTACTTCCTGCACAGTCGATGGAAAGCTGCAAACACCTAGTTGATGGTGGCGATGTCCAAACAACGTTGACAACAAAGTAGATTGAAGTTGCCTCATCAATCCTTCGCTGAAGATCTACTTCCTCGTCTGCAGCCTCCACACAGTTCACAGGGCAGGAGGGCTTGTGGGGGCTTCGCTTACTCTTCGAATTTCGAGGGCTGAGGGTTAAGTTCAATCTCAAAAGCCGCAAGTTACCTTGCTGTTGCTGCGAAACGGACCAGGCCATCGGAAGATACACAGTGGTCCACCCATGGAATTGAGACATCAGTGTGCGAAATTGCATGCCGTATCAATGTGCTATGCCGGCTCTGGGAATCGAACCTGCGGACGAAACTGTTGCTCTTCTCGGAGAAAGCTTGGGGTTTAGGGGGTCTTTAGGCCTCAAAGGTTTGGGGTCTGTGAGGCTTTAGGTTTAGGGTCGCATGCCCCCATGTGTCGCATCCAGAAACCTGCCTGGACCATCTCAACTTTGCTTCTCGTACCTTATAGGATTCTATATACGAACCCCAAGAAGGAACTACTTTGGGGCCTTAGGGTACTGGTGTAGTAAATTGACCACTAGTGAAAGTTGCACTTTGTCCAAATTGGTGCTTCTTCCGCTTCCTTCTGCTGCTGTCTGAGCTGTGGAATTCGAAACCCAGTTCCCTACAAGCTCCTATGAACCTTGTATTGAACC